AGCATCAGTCCAAGCAGTCATCCCTCCATCTTCTTCATTCCTGCTCTTGTCCAGGTGCCAGCACCCATCAAGACGATGACCATCTCGTCCAAGAGGGTGAGTCATAGCACGTGGCAGGGGCCTGGGTGGGCAGATCCCATCCCGGGCCCAGCTGTGGCATTGCCCAGCATCACCACAGCACTAGAACAGGAGGTTCACAGGGGCCCTAATGCAGTGGGGATGAGGTAGTATCTCACCCTGTTCTCTTTGTCCCCAACAGCAACAGCTGTATGTGTCCTCGGCCGTAGGCGTGACCCACCTGGCCCTGCACCGCTGTGACGTGTACGGAGAAGCCTGTGCTGACTGCTGCCTGGCCCGGGATCCCTACTGTGCCTGGGATGGCAGTGCCTGCACCCGCTACTCTGCCTCCTCCAAGAGGTACAGGGGGGGCCAGAGAGAGGGTCAGGGAAGGCACCCGCAGCCACAGGCTCCCCCTCTCACCTCCCACCTTCCCACAGGCGGAGCCGGCGGCAGGATGTCCGGCACGGCAACCCCATCCGGCAGTGCCGCGGCTACAACTCCAATGGTGAGTGGGGTCTGGGGCAAAGCCTGGCAGCGTGGGCAGCTGGGAGGGGAGGCTGAGGGCGCAGGGCTGGAGTTGGGGACGCAGGGATTCTTTGGTGGGTTGATGGTTTTGTGGGTGGATATATGTATGGGAAGATACATGGATGAATGGGTGGGTGGGTGGATGAGTGGGTAGTTGTGTTAGGGAGGGAGATGAACATGGATGAGTGGATACATTGAGGATGAGAGCAAACAGATTTGAATGGGTGGATAGAGGGACGGATGATAAATGGATGAATTGATACCCACCCTTGGAGATAGAGTGGGCAGGGGAGAAGTGCAGCGANGGCTGAGGGCGCAGGGCTGGAGTTGGGGACGCAGGGATTCTTTGGTGGGTTGATGGTTTTGTGGGTGGATATATGTATGGGAAGATACATGGATGGTCGGTTCATGGATGGGTGAATTGGTTCATGGATGGATGGATGGATGGATGGATGGATGGATGGATATATTGGGGAGGAGATTGAACAGATTTGAATGGGTGGATAGAGGGACGGATGATAAATGGATGAATTGATACCCACCCTTGGAGATAGAGTGGGCAGGGGAGAAGTGCAGCGAGTTGGGAGTGACCTGGCTGCCCATGACCCCCCTGCAGCTAACAAGAACACAGTGGAGGCCGTGCAGTATGGTGTGGAGGGCAGCACAGCCTTCCTGGAGTGCCAGCCCCGCTCGCCCCAGGCCAGCGTCAAGTGGCTGCTGCAGAAGGACAACAGTGACCGGCGGAAAGAGGTAGGGCAGGGCACTGCTCGGGGGGTGCTGGGGGTGCCAGGCTTCAGCTGGCTGAGCTGAGCTGAGTCCATCCCTGTCCCCCCTAGCTGCGAGTGGAGGGCCGGGTGCTGCGCACGGAGCAGGGCTTGCTGCTGCGCTCCCTGCAGCTCGGCGACAGCGGCCTCTACTCCTGCACCGCCACCGAGAACAACTTCAAGCACACAGTGACCAAGGTGCAGCTCCGCGTCCTCAGCAGCCGCGCCGTCCACGCCGTGCTGGTCCAGGCGGAGACCCCCCTTGGCCTGCCAGGTGCCCCCACTCCCCGCTACCAGGACCTGCTGCAGCTCCTCAGCCAGCCCGAAATGGGACTCCTGGACCAGTACTGCCAGGGCTACTGGCGGCACACGGCCGCCAGCCCCCCGCAGCCGCTGGCTGGCCTCAAAGCCAAGGAGCAGCAGGACCAGAAGAAGCCTCGAAACCGCCGGAATCACCAGCCAGAGACCTATGGGCATACATGAAACCATCATCAGGGACTTTGCTAGCACAGTGGTCTATTTTTCCCCCCTTTTAATATTAAAAATATCTATAAATAAATATATATATATATATATATACACATCCACGCACACACACACACACAGACACATGCGCTTCCCCCTCCCACGGGAGGTGGTATTTATTGGTAGGCTGTACATAGTCACTGAGGTGGTGCCACCCCCACCTCCCAGGCCCAAGGAGGAGTAAGGACCCCTGGGGAGGAGTGGGGACCCCTGAGGTGGCTGCAGCTGCCATTGCTGTCTTCCCCCCTGCGAAGGACCCCCAGATCCTGTTGTGAAGGGACCATGGGTCACCACAGCCACTCTCCCATACAGCTGGGGCATGGCACCCTGCTTGGGGATGGATGTCCTGGTGTGGGAGGGGATGCCCTGGGGAGGGGTGAGGAGGAGGCAGGGGAGGCAGTGCCAGACGAGGTCTGCCCACTGCAAGCTGGGCATGACCATCGTAGCTTCATGCCTCAGTTTCCCCACTGTAAGGTTATGGAGGAGCAAGTGCTTTCTTGAGGAAGCTGTAGACCACCAGGCAAGCTGAGGAGGAGGCGTGAGGGTACATGGCTCTCTCTTCTCCCTGGGGGCTTGGGAGGGGTGAGATGGGACCTCGAGGTGGGACTGAGGCATTCAGGCAATAATGGGGACTTGGCCCCAGGGTCTTTGGATGGAGAAGGGAAGGAGAAGGGGTCATGCTGGTGTAAAACATTGAGCAGCTGCTGGCACTTGGTGACAGTGGCACCCAGAAGTGTTTTGGGCACCCCGGTGACTGTGGAGGGTTGTAAATAGTTGTACATGGGAAGCACAGGGATGATCAGGGCTGAGTCAGCGCCTCCTGCTGCAGCTAGGGGCACTCCCAAATAAACACTGGCTTTGGGACAGACGCGGGCGCCTGCGTGTGCTCTGTAGGGGATGGAGCTGGCCCTCACCACGTAATCTCCTGAGCCCTGCCAGGACACAGAGGGCTGCCCCTGGGGGAACACTGGGTCGCTGGTGCTGGGGGACAGGACAGGGAGGATGGGGAGGTGGCAGCAGTGGGTGGTACTGCTGGGTGTTGGTGTGCACTGGGCTGCACTGGGCACCAGGACTGGGTGTTGAAGGCACTGGGAGCACTCAGAGTCACTACTGGGGACACGGGAAGATACTGAGGGCATGAGGAAAATACTGGAGCACTCGGTATGGGACTGGGAGCTGGTACTTGGTGGTATTGGAGCATGGAGCAGGGGAGAAACTTTACAGAGGGCTCGGACGGTGGTAGCGGATGATACTGGGAGTACTTTGATTGATACGAGGGTGGTACCAAGCTCCTCTGAGTAGTTCCAGAAGGCACTGGAGTCAGTGCTGAAAGGTCCTGGGCTGTAACAGAGGTAGTACTGGGCACATGGGAGATTGGTACTGGGCAGTACTGGGAGGACTAGGAGAAGTACTGAGGCGTTAGGATTTGGTAGTAGGAACTGGAACTTGGTGATGCTGGGAGCAGTGGTAGGGAAGTGGCAATGGTTCTGTAGGGGTGGCTGGGGGTTATAGTGGGCAATACTGGGGTCTAGCAGGGCACTCTTTCAGTACTGGGGTAATGGAGGTGGCACTGGGCTCCTCTGGGCAGTCTTGAGACGCACTTGTGTGAGTAGTGGGGTGCTGGGGCTATGCTGGGGTCAGTACTGGGTACACTGGCGGGGTGCAGAGCTGTACTGGGGGCGCTGGGCTGTACTGGGATGGTGCAGAGCTGTACTGGGAGCGCTGGGCTGTACTGGGAGCTGCGCTGGGCGCTCCCGCCCTCTGGCGGCCGAGCGAGGCGCTGCAGGAGAGCGGTGCAGGGAGGGGAGCGCTGGGGACAAATGAGGGGACGCAGGGGCTGTACTGGGAGCACTGGGGATAAGTGAGGGGACACGGGAACTGGGATCGCTGGGGAGAAATGGGGGGACACAGGGGCACTGGGAGCACTGGGAACAAAGGAAGGGACACAGGGGAACTGGAAGCGCTGGGGACAAATGAGGGGACACAGGGGCACTGGGGACAAATGAGGGCACACAGGGGAACTGGGAGCACTGGGGACAAAGGAAGGGACACAGGGGAACTGGGGACAAATGAGGGCACACAGGGGAACTGGGGGCGCTGAGGAAAAATCGGGGGGGGACACAGGGGCACTGGGCTGTACTGGAGTCACTGGCGCACTCCTTGCAAGACCTGAAGTCACTGGAAGTGGGGTGACACTGGGAGTTACTGCGGTGTTCCTTGGGATACTCAGTTCTGCTGCAGTGGATGAAGTGGCAATGGGGGGCACTGGGAGGGCACATTGAGCGACCCAGAGACATTGGGGGGGGCTCACTGCGGTTGGAGTGGTAACACAGAGGGGGCACTGTGGTCATTGGGCAGGGTTCTTTTATACTGGGAAGGACATGGTCCCCACATAGGAACTGGAGTTGTTTGGGAACACTGGGATTTCTTCTGTAGTCACTGGGGAGTGTTGCTGGGGACGGCTTTGGAAACCCTCTGCAGGGTATGTGGGTATCCCTGAGGACATTGTGCAGGTGTGGCTGGAGGGCCTGGGGACGCTGTGGAGGTGATACTGATCCTAGTGGCACTGGGAGTGCACTGGTGGGTGGCTGGGCACATGAAGAAGTGCACTCGGGAGCATGGGGACATTAGTGGAGGGTTTTGGAAGGGTCTCTGGGGACATAGGTGACTGAGGCTGACATTTTATCACTGTGAGGAGTGCCCATGGGGACACTGGCATGGCTTACTGGGGTGGGGCAATGGGCACTGGTCCAGAGCAGGGTGAGATGGGGACATTTGCTCCCATTGTGACTAGATCCCAGCAGACATACCATCCCACCCCCACGGAGGTCCACAGCAGAGCTGGAGATGGGTAGGGGTCCCACTTCCCCCAGGGTGGCCAGGTCACTGCCCCAGCCCCAGGGTGGAGGCAAATCTGGGGACTGCTCGGGCTGGTCCCCCCCCGACACTGGGAAGCGCTGACACCGGGAACCATGGGATTGCTGAGCTCAGCCCTCTGCAGATTGAAGGGGGTTTATCGGGGGGGCCCAGCTTAAGCCCCGGGTGCTGAGCGCAGCCCCCCGGCAGGCGGCCCCCCGGGACCTTGGCCCCGTCCTTGTCGCACACCGGGCGGACGGCGCTGGCAGCGGCGGCGGGCACCGGGAGCCAGCGCTGGAGGCGGCGGGAAGCTGGAGCTCGCTGCCCATCTTGGTGCTGACCTCCAAGGAGCGGGTGGTGAACCGCAGGGCTGCGGGGCTGAGCATGGGAGCCGGGGCCAGTGCCGAGGAGAAGCATTCTCGAGAGCTGGAGAAGAAGCTCAAGGAAGACGCTGAGAAGGATGCCAGGACCGTCAAGCTGCTGCTGCTGGGTAAGGGGGAGACAACGCCCTGGGGAACCTACCCATCCTTTGTGCATCCCACCCTAACAGCCCACCCAATGCGCCCCTGAAACCTACCAGTGCCCCTCAACCCAACCAGCACACGCCACAGCTGCCCCCGAACCCAACCAGCCAATCCAACATTCCCCTGGCCCCCAGATGGAACCCCAAACCCAAGGAGCTCACCCTCACAGTTCATTCAACATTCTCCTGACTCACCCTTAAAACTAAGCAGCCCACCCCAACATCACTCCCATTCCCAGCAGCCCTAAACCAAATCTCCCCATCTCAATAGCCCACTCAATGTTTCCCTGATGCCTCCAGCACCTTTAAACCAAACAATCACAACCCAGGAATGCCCCCAACAGCCTTCACTCCAGGCATCCCTTAAACCAGCCAACCCTCCCCATTAAAACACCTGAAGTTTCCCTGACCCCACTATAAACCAAACCAGTTCAACAGTCCCCAGGCCCCTGCTCCTAAGCACCCTTAAATCCAGTCAGCCCACTCTAGCAGTCCTCTGACCCCCACAGCATCCCTAAAGCCAACCAGTCAACCCCAAAAACCTGCCCAATGTTTTCTTCTCTCCCTTAGCACCCCTAAACCCAACCAGCCGCCCAACAGTCCCCCCCATTCCCGGGATCCCCAAAACCAGCTCGTCCCAACTTGCTCAACACCCCCTACCAGGCACCCCATACACAACAGACCATCTCAACAAGACGATGAGATCCTGAGATCCTAAGGTCCTGAGATCCTAAGATCCCCTGGCTTCCATATATCCCTGAACTCAACCAGCCTACCTAACATCCCCCCACTCCCAGGTCCCCCAGCCCCAACAAACACATCTTAAGAGCCTTCACCAACACCACCTATCACCACCCCCATCCATCAGCACCCCTGCCCCATCCTCCTAGGGAGCTCCATACAGCCCATATCACTACTCCATGTCTGTCCCTGAAGCCCCCTTGTGCTGTGTGTCCCTCCCAGCCCTTCCCAGTCCCCCAGTGGTGCCTGAGGATTGGGGTGCTGTGTATGTGGTGGGGCCATGATGGCATCACTGTCCTCACAGCCTGGCCCAGGACACATCCTCCTGCACAGCTACAAGTTTGGGGCATTGGGTGGTAGGTGGCAGGGTTGTGATGCCACCATGTCCCCAACCCCTCCCTTGGGTTCCTGAGAGTGTCCCTGGCTGAGCCGCCTCAGATCCCACTAGACGCAGCGGCTCAGCCTAACCTTAATGCCACTGGCACTAGGCTGTTAATCCCCCTGCACACCCTGAGCCATGGACCTGGCACAGCCAACAGTGCCCGCAGCCATTTCAGGCACCAAGGTTGTCAGTGAGCCACCACAGGGCTCAGCTGGGAGTGCCCATGGCACGGGCACCACCATGAGCCATGTTTTGTCCCCTTAGGAGCAGGGGAGTCAGGGAAGAGCACCATTGTCAAGCAGATGAAGTAAGTTCCAAGGGGGGGTCATTTGATTGTGCCCATGATGCAAAGTGTCTGTCCTGCACTGCAGCCATGGGATTCCCCATCCCACTGTGCCTGACTCTGCCCCATCCCACAGCCATGGGATGCATCCATGGTGTGGCTCAGCTCCATGGCACCCAGCTCAGCCCTGTGCCTGTGATCTTCCCCTGCCAGGATCATCCACCAAGACGGCTACTCACTGGAGGAATGCCTGGAGTTCATTGCTATCATTTACAGCAACACTCTCCAGTCCATGCTGGCCATCGTGCGGGCCATGACTACCCTCAACATCCAGTACGGGGACACGGCTCGCCAGGTGAGTAGTGTTCCGTGTTCAGCAGGGGTTCCCCCCAGTCCCCAGGCCCCACTAACCCCTCTCCCTCACAGGATGATGCCCGTAAGCTGCTGCACCTCTCAGACACCATTGAGGAGGGGACCATGCCCAAGGAGATGTCAGAAATCATCGGACGGCTCTGGAAGGACTCGGGCATCCAGGCCTGCTTTGACCGCGCCTCCGAGTACCAGCTCAATGACTCTGCGGGCTAGTACGTGGGGTCGGGGAGTGTGGGTGTGGGAGGCACGAGGGAGTTCCAGCCTGTGTCTCATGCCCCCCGCGTGCCCGGCCAGCTACCTGTCAGACCTGGAGCGCCTGGTGACCCCCGGCTACGTCCCCACAGAGCAGGACGTGCTGCGTTCCCGTGTCAAGACAACTGGCATCATTGAGACCCAGTTCTCCTTCAAAGACCTCAATTTCAGGTGGGGGCCAGACCCCCAGTGAAGGCTGGTGCCAGGGGGTGGGCAGGGCATAGGGGGTGCTGACTCTCGCTTGTCCTGCCCAGGATGTTCGATGTGGGTGGACAGCGCTCAGAGAGGAAGAAGTGGATCCACTGCTTTGAGGGTGTGACCTGCATCATCTTCATCGCGGCTCTCAGTGCCTATGACATGGTCCTAGTGGAGGATGATGAAGTGGTGAGGAATGCTCACCACCTCACCCTCTCTGCTTTGTCCCCGTCATGACTTGGGCGTCACCACGGGGCTGTGTTCATCTGCAGAACCGCATGCATGAGAGCCTGCACCTCTTCAACAGCATCTGCAACCACCGCTACTTTGCCACCACCTCCATCGTCCTCTTCCTCAACAAGAAGGACGTCTTTCTGGAGAAGATCAAGAAGGCCCACCTCAGCATCTGCTTCCCCGACTATGACGGTGAGTGTGGCAGTGGCTGCTGGTGGTGGGGTGCTGCTGGAGGGTTGGGTGCCGCCACCCCCGCAGGAGTCCCCCACCAGGTGTCCTCAGCACCCCATGCAAGTGGTGGCTCATGAGCCTTGCTGAGGGACATGCAGGGTTTCCCCACCCGAGGGAGCACTGGGTAATCCTGGGCCAGCACTCTGGCGGGGGACACCAGCCCAGGAAGGGATCCCACTCACTGCCACGCCACCAGGTCCCAACACCTACGACGATGCGGGAAACTACATCAAACTGCAGTTCCTGGAGCTGAACATGCGGCGGGACGTGAAGGAGATCTACTCCCACATGACCTGCGCCACCGATACCGAGAACGTCAAGTTCGTCTTCGATGCAGTCACTGACATCATCATCAAGGAGAACCTCAAGGACTGCGGGCTGTTCTGAGCCCCAGGCGAGCACCCCCTCCCCTGGGGCCCAGCCCTGCTGCTGACCCCATCCCACCTCCACAGCCATCTCTGCTTGCTGCAAACCCCTGGGATTTGGCCTGCTCAGCTCCAAAGCCACCCCTGGTAAAGAAGGGAGGGCGGGTGGGGGCACAATCTCACTCCCCCTCCCCTCCAACTCTCCCACCAGTCAGCACTGTGGGGCCCTCAGTTCTGCTGGGGGTCTCTGGGGCTTCAGGTCCTAGGGATACCTGGATGACCCTGGATACTACAGGGTGCTGGATACTTTCAGGTGCTGCAGGTCCCTGAGTAACCCTTGGAGCTGTGGGGTACAGAGGTTCCTTTGCGTGCTGAGGGTCCTTAAAGTACCCCTTGGAGCAGAGGGTGTTTGGGGATCCTGGGTGTCCCTAGGAATTTGAGAGATGCTGAGGTGTCCCTGGGTTCCCTTTAGAGCTGAGAGGTGCTGGGGGTCCCAGATGATCCTCGGCACTGGGGAGACTGGGGAGTTTTGGGTGCCCCTTGGTGCTGGGAGTCCCTGGTACCCCTTGGAGCTGAGGAGGGTTTTAGATGCCCCTTGGGTGCTGGGGGGTCCTAGATGTCCTCTGAAGCTCTGGGTGCTGGGGTGGTCTCTCGGGTGCTGCTGGGTGTCCAGGAGTGGCCCCTGGAGCTGGGGGTGCTGGGAGTGTCCAGGAACACCTCAGAGGTGTGGGGTGTCCATGGGTGATCCCTGTGGGCTGGTGGGTTCAAGGTTACATCTCCCTCTGGGCTACAGATCATTGGGTGTTCCTGGGTACTGGGTGTCCCCAGTGATACTGGGTGTCCTGTGTGATACTGGGACTCCCTTGGTGCCACCATGCCACCTCAGCAGAGCCAGGGAGTGGTCATGTGCTTATTCCTCCCTACCCCACAGCCCCTTGGGGTAGGGCTTAACCTTGCAGCACCATCCCAGTCGCACTCCCAAGGGTTCCACCACTGCCCTCACCTCCCACGACCAGGGGCTTCTCCTCACCCCAGGGGGATGCCAACCCACCTTTTGTCCCTCTCCTAGCCCCGGAGACCACCCCAGCCCTCCCATAGAGGTGAAGCCCCCCCTGCCCACTCCCATGTCACGCAGGGTGTTTCAGTATATATAATGTTTCTCACTTTGTTTTTTTCCTTTCTACATTTTATTATTTCAAACCATGTGAACAATTTGGTAAAACATCCTGTGGGAAAAGCGACACCGCAGGCACCGGCTGAAGGGTCCCCCTGGGCTGGGGGGGACAGCGGGGGCCGCTCTGTACAGCGGGCTCTCCTCGCCCAATGCAACAGCTAACCCTAAAAACTAGGCTTAGAAAGAGGGGGGGGATAGAGGCAGTGGGCAGCACCCCCTGCCCACCCTCCTGCCTGAGCTGCCCCTTGGGATGGAGGCAGCAAGGCGGGGTGGGGTGCAGACCCTCCCCCCCAAAGGCACACGGTTGGGGGGTGGGCTGGCCATGGAGGATGCCACCACCACGTAGCACTTGATGCTTTTAAATAGTTTGGTAAAAAGGTTTTCTTTAAAAACTAACCTGTCCCCAACCGGTGTGGTGTGATTTTTTTTTTTTTTTTGCATGGTTTTGGGTTTGGTTTTGTTGTTTTTTTTCTTTTTTCCTTTCTTCATTCTTTCTTTTCTGGTTTACTAAAAGGAATGTCATCGGTCATGTTTGTGGCTGGGTGGCAGCCCCGAGGGGACCCTGTGCCCCCCAGGCCAGCAACACTTGCAGTGTAAACAGTGAGAGCACCACGGCTCGGAGTGAATGAGATGGGGGCTGGAACAGTTCAGGGGGTACAAACCAAGATTAAAACCTTGTCTTCCCTGGAAGGGCAACGCCGGCGAGGAGGAGGACAATGGTGGGGGGGAAACACATGTGTCAGGGGGTACATGGGCCCTGCCACTGTGCTGGCACTCAAAAGTCTCTTTATGTGGTGGGCAGAGGAATGAATCTGAAGAGAAGCAGGAGTGGGAGAGATGGCGTGGTTCTTCCTTTGCAGCTCCTAGGAGAGAGAGGTCATGAGCAAGGGAGGGTCTGGGGACAGGGTAGCCTGCAGCTGGCAGGCTGTGCCCAGCCCATATCTGGAGAATGGTCCACGACCACCCCATTTGAGGAGCCACCACTGAGATCAGCACCCACCTGGGCAGCGCCGTCCTCAGAAGAGACCACAGTCCTTCAGGTTGTTTTTGATGATGACGTCGGTGACGGCATCAAAGACAAACTGCACGTTCTTGGTGTCTGTGGCACAGGTGAAGTGGGTGTAGATCTCCTTGGTGTCCTTCCTCTTGTTCAGGTCCTCGAACTTGCTCTGGATGTAGCTGGCTGCCTCATCATACTTGTTGGCCCCTGGGGAAGAAGAGACACGGGGCTGTCCCATAGTTGCCCACAGCCACCAAAGAGTTTGGGCTTGACTTGGCCCCCCACAGCCACTGTCCTGTTGCCAAATTGAGGCTCCAGAGGCAGAATGAACCTCAGATAACCCCCCTCAGGGCAGCTGCGTCCCCCCACATCTCCCATCTCCTGGGACACCTCAAACACCACCACACCCCACTTACTGCCCCAACACACTGCTCCTCGGGCACAGGGGAGCCAGCATCTCTGTCCCTAGCATCTCCTGCTACCCTACCCGGGGCAAGGCACTGCCCACTACCCCTGCCAGGAGGGCAGGGGGCACTGAGAGTCCCAGTGATACCTGTGTACTCGGGAAAGCAGATGGTGAGGGAGCTGTGCACGATCTTCTCCTCAAAGAGGTCCTTCTTGTTGAGGAAGAGGATGATGGACGTGTCTGTGAACCACTTGTTATTGCAGATGCTGTCAAACAGCTTCATGCTCTCATGCATCCGGTTCTGGCAGAGAAGATGGCAGCATGAGCTGGGCAGGGACCCCTAGGCAGCACTCACCCTGTTGTCCCCCAAACTACCACCCCCCATGCTCCTGCCTTCCTGGGCAGGGGATGCCAATGGCCCTGCAAGGCTTGGGCCACACTGGCCAGGGCACCGGTGGCCACCAGAGGAGGGGTTGCTACCCCAGCCCCCCCCACGGAGGGGATGACTCATGGCACTGGTTCCATCCCATAACTCACCATTTCCTCATCTTCAGCCAGGACCAGGTCATAGGCACTCAGGGCCACACAGAAAATGATGGCTGTCACCCCCTCGAAGCAGTGGATCCACTTCTTCCGTTCTGAGCGCTGGCCACCCACATCAAACATCCTGCAGCAGGAAGTGACACGGGGATGGATGGCATCTCCTCGCCCCACCACCCTTACCCCATGTCTCAGTGTCCCCAGCTGCTCAGAGCAGGAGCAGCACTGGTGTGGGCAGACCACGGTGCCTCTGCCCCAGGGATTCTGCCAGTACTGAGGATCTGCCCCGGCTCCTGCTGCCTAGACAGTGTCCAGGCTCATTTCCCAGCTGAAACAAATCCCTGACGTGAGCTGGGGCAGCATCAGGCTGCCTTTCCCAGGGGGTGTCAGTGTCATGTTCCCCAGACACCTGCTCCAGAGCAGGCACAGCAGGGCTTTGCCAGAGACCTTGGAGCAAGGGGAGCCAAGTCACTGTGGGCTCAGCAGGATTGTGGCAGCAGCAGGGCTCAGGGATGATCCCGATGCACCATGTGCCTCTCCTGCCACAGGCAGCAGAGGATGCCCTGCCTCCACGGAAAAGAGCTCAGCAGTAGCATTCCACATCTCCTGCCATGCCCACTGCCAACTGCTTGGCTGGTGGGAAAGCTTCCCCACTGGGTCACACTGCATTCCCCCTAGAGCACCCCCACTGCCACCTCCAAAGCACTGCTCTGGCAATGCACAACCAAGAGTTTCCATCCCACCAGGGTGGCATCGGGGCTCCTGCAAGCCCCCCGCATTCAGAGAGGATCCCAGCAGATCGTTCTGACATCAGCTCTGTTGCCATGGGACTAAATTCCCTGGGGATGTGCACAATGGAAGCTTTTTGCCTCTGAAACTGGAGCCCTGATTATTTCCCATGGGTTTTCAGTGGAAAGCAACCACAGGGTGCCAGCAGGCAGCGCTGCCACTGCCTGACCCCAAGACCCCAGCTCCTGCCCAGCACCCTTCCTGGGGCGGAAGCAGCGTCACAGCAGCGGGAGGAGGGATGCTTTCCCCCTCCCCTCCTTGCCAGAGCCTGGATCCGCCCCCAGGCTGAGCTCTGTGAAGTGTTTTTGAGGCTGTTCCAGCTATTTCAGCGGTTTCCGCTCTCTGAGGCAGCAGTTCCCGCCATGAGCAAACCAAGAGGCTGGGGGAACTGAGTGCACGCATGGTCCGTTCCAGCATGGGGAGGAAGGGTTTTTTTTTGTTTTCAAAAAGGCAAAAGGGAAAGAGGTCAGACATACTTGAAGTGCAGATCTTTAAAGGTGAAGTGAGTCTCTACGATGCCCGTGGTTTTCACCCTGGTGCGCAGCACATCCTGCTGGGTGGGGATGTAGTCGGCACGGGCTATTCTCTCCAAATCGTTCAGGTAGCTGGGGACGAAGAGGAAAGGTTCTGTGGGAGCTGGACCGTGGGACATACCCACACTGGCCCAGAGTCCCCTGTCCATATCCCAGCATTGTTCAGTTGGGGTGGGCAGTGCCAAGCTGGGACACACAGCAGAGACACCATGTGAATCCTGGGGTCACCCCACGTCCCTGCCAGACACAGGCAGGGCAGGACACCAGTGGCCAGGATGACATGAGACACACAGGACCGAGGGACTGAGGGCAGTGTGCTGGCATTAGGAGCCAGGCAGAAGATGCAGCCAGGGCTGGGGGGCTCACCCCGTTTCCCTGGCCATTTGCACAGGGGGGAAATGGCAAGAGGAAAATATTCAGTGCTATGGCAACCAGCCACAGTGCCGGCGGAAACAATCGATGGCGCCATGCCATTTATAGTCAAAAACACAAAGGGACGGCGTCCTGGGAGGAAGCAGGAGGCGGGAGGCCAGAGAGACAGGGAGCAGTGCCGTGGGGGGCTGCAAACATCCTGAGCCCCCACGGGAGCATCGCCTGCCCTGCTGCCTGCAGGGTCCCAGTAGAGATGGTGGCCGGGTCCCCAGTGTGCAACACCCACGGGGACTGATGAGGGCTGCCGGGGTGGGGGGGGTGAAGGCGGGTTTTGATTTCTCCAGATCACATTGCTTTAATTGGGTTACTACAAACGGGCTC